TAGTTCTGCCTCAGTAAGCAACATCTGGGAGGGCTATTTGCAGATATTTATAACCCTACCAGAGGGTTATCTGGAGGCGAGACATCATGATTAAGTGAAGGAGTAAACTATATGTGCAGACTGTAGGAAAACCAAATGAGATCTCAGCAGTCACCAGTCAGTCCTCAGGGCTGAAGTGGGAGGCTCCTCCACATTGCCCCTCTCACGCTCTGTCCAGCTTCCTCCAGCAAAAAGAGCTCCCGAGACAGTCAATTACACCTTCAGATGACTAACTACTAACAAGATGTCTTTATATTTAGCTAGAATCTCAGAATCTTTGCCCTTTGGTCCTAGGTCCATGTACCTGCTGCCGCATAATAGGATCATCTTGGGAGCCTTGACAAATCTAATGCCCAGGCCGTCATACTGTGGACAGCATAAATCAGAATCAATGGGAGTGGGACCCAAGCAGCACCATTTTTTAAACTCTTCAGGTGATTCCAATGTGCAGTCAAGGTTTAGGGTCGCTGGCTTAAACTCACTTCCCCACTACACTCTGTATATAGTGACTTGAAATATATTTATATATATATATTCTATATATATATATAACTTTATTATTATTCAAGTCACCCTCCCCTGAACTGGATTTTCTTTCCCTTAGGTGTGTCTTTCCTCCATCCCCTGAGAGCAGGCAATCGGAGGCAAGGGGCAATCATCACTGAGCAACCCTGGAGAGAGCCATTGTTGGGGACCACCAGGGAAGACCTGGTGGCCCCAGCATCCCTGGTGGGACTGGCCTGGCTCCTTTCACATTTTAAAAAGCATAACCAGATTGATAAATTGGACTTCATCAAAATTAAAACCCTTTATGCTTCCATAAAACTAACAAGAAAATGAAAAGCAACCACCGAGTGGGAGAAAATATTTATCATCATGTATCTGATAGGTGTATACTACCCAGCATATATAAAGAAATATCGCAATCAGTGATTTAAAAAATAACCAAATTAAAGTGGGCAAAAAATTTAAACAGACATTTCTTCAAAGAAGACATGAAGATATAACCTCCTTTTCCCCATCCTTAAACAGACACACATACACTCCATCCCCTGACATCACCATTTTTGTGAATTTTGCAAAATTTACCAAGATTTTTCCACTGACTATAAACTGCTCATAATGATAAAGTTACCTCCAATAAGCATTCTTTAAAAATCAGTTTTCTGAGATGGCCCATCTGGCTGTAGTGGAAACCTATAAGCCACTCAGACCCACCCTTCTCCCCAGCTCTAGAGCGCCTCCCATCTCTGGGAAGCCCAAGGGCAATTTCAGAGGCTGGCAAGCTGGATCCCAGGAAAAAGAAAATCCTGAATTTGCGAAAGACTATTTGACTACAAATTCAAGCAGTGCTTGGAAGATTCTTTTAGAAAATAGGCAAGGGGGGGCGCGCCTGGGTGGCTCAGTGGGGTAAAGCCTCTGCCTTCAGCTCGGGTCATGATCCCAGGGTCCTGGCATCTAGCCCTGCATTGGGCTCTCTGCTCAGCAGGGAGCCTGCTTCCGTGCCCCTGGCCCCCACCCCCACCCCACCCCCGTCTCTCTGTCTGCCTCTCTGCCTATTTGTGATCTCTGTCTGTCAAATAAATAAAATCCTTAAAAAAAAAAAAGAAAAGAAAAGAAAATAGGCAAGGGGAAGGGTTTATTATTATTATTATTAGATTTAAGTTGAGTATTTAACTTATTTTTTTGCAGATAATAAATACTATTGTTCATAAAAGAATTAAAGAACACTACAAGGCAGTGTTTATTCAAGAACTAAGAGGTAAGGAGTCAACTGTAAGCACACTGAGAGTAAAGGGAAAGGAGAAGAACATTGTCTATACTGTAATATTAGTTACAATAATATTAATGTATATACTATAAAACTGTACCAATGCATAATAGTACCTATCTATATTTTCTGACTTTCTCACAACGAATATGTATTTCTAATAAAAGACAATAGACAACTCTGGAAAGCAGTCTTGAAGTTTCTTACAAAACTAAACATGTTACGACCGTATGCCTGGCAAGTGGACTCCTGGGTGTTTATTTCAAAGCACTGAAATGGTTAAATAAATTGTGGTATATCCATATTATGGAATAGCACTCAGCAATAAAAAGGAATGGGCTCCTGACATAGGAAACAATCTGTATGGATCTCTAATTATGCGAGTGAAAAAGGTCAAAGCCAAAAGGTTATACACTGTACATACCATTCTTGAAGTGACAAATTTAGAGAAACGGAGAACAGAAATGAGATTCTGCAGCATTACGGAGGTGGGGGGAGAGGCAAGTAGGTCTGGCTGTGAAAGGCAATGTGAGCCCTTGTGAAGGGAAAATGTTCTGTGTGCCCATGGCCTCGGTGTTCGTATCCTGATGTTGTGTTATAGTTTTGCAAGATGTTACCAATGGGGAAAACTAGGTAACGGGCAAATGGGGATCACCTTGCATTATTTCTGAAAACTGCACCTGTATCTGTTATTATCTTAAAAGCTTATTTTTAAAAAAGACAATAGGAATCAATTTTAATGAGACAAAATACTTGTTGCACAGAATCCATCGTTGCATTAAAGAAATGTGTCTGTTAGATAGCAACACAATATATGTACGTAGTGAAACATTGCTTTAAGAAGTAAAAATAGCCATGATATCTCTGAATTGATGACCACAAGCATTCAATCTTCAGCTGACGTAGCCTCCCTTCTGATGGCATGATGTAGGGTTACTTCATGGCTTCCTCTTCAGCAAACTCCCTTATCCTAAGTACTTAGTAACCCACAAAGGCTGGGGGAGGGGAAGATGGGGAGAGCCCCAGGTCTAACCAGAAGTCTGTGCAAGCGCCAGGAGAGACACTCCAATAGGAATGAGCGCTCTTCAGGTGTCCCTCTCAGCTGTCAGAGAACATCAGCTTCACAGGGGAGCCTAGTCATAGTGTAAACTCCCCCAGACACATCCCCAGATCCCACTCAGGGGTGTGGCCCGTGGATCTGAAGAGTGAGCCAGTCCCCCTGGGGAAAGGAGACTCTCAGGAATGCCGAGGGCCGGACTGGATCTTGGCAGCCCCAGAAGAACCTGCAGTCCTCAGTCACAACAACAGTTTTTAATCATCCTTCCTTAAGGAGAATTCAGGGGATCTGTCTAATTCAGGAGCTTCTCAAAACAACCACAGGAATCAGTTCTGGGAATCCAAGTCACATTTGGGAACACGCTAGCTATGGATGCCTGACCATAGAGTAGAGAAGGAAAATGGCAGCCAATGTGCCACACGGTAAGACCAGGGCTCTGGAAAATAGTTGGGTGTGTTGCTGGGGGCTTCTCAGGGAAGCTGTTCCTCCCAGCCATGCAGTGGAGGATCAATGTCAAAGTCAGAGTCCACCTCATCCTCCGTGTCTGACTGGTCCCCTTGATACTCATCACCTGATTCCTCCGTGAAACCCCCATAAGTCGTCTGGTAGAACTCATCTTCCTCCTCTGCCTCCAGGAGCCCAGAAAGCCGGTTCCCCGCAGTCTTCCGGGGGGCCCAGCCCCCAGCCAAACTCATCCTGCCTACTGAGACTGCTATGACTCTACTTCCTGCCCTCGTGAAGACCAGGGTGTGCTAAGGAGACAGAGACGGGACCATCTAGACAAAACCAATTACAAATGATGTATAAAAGCTGTCTAGTCCCACACAGTTTCTTTCAGCTGTCATTTTTGCCACCACACTGGGCACAGGGCTCCTTGTAAAACAGGGACGCGGCACTTTAACCCTGTGCTCTGCCATGGCCACTTTCTCCACCTCTTGTCTTCCAGATCTGCTTCTGGTCCTCTCTGCTAACCTTGTTTGTGACCACTTTTCCACCCGTCTGCCCTACTGAGTCTGGTCGTTGGCTATAACTTTGGCTTATCCAGTCATATTTCCAATTACTCACTTCTGCGGCTTTGCCTTGGGTCATTTCAAGTACAGGGAACCTCCACACCTGGGTTGACCTGGTTGAAGACGTCCCACCCAGCAAAAGGCCCCTTCAGCTGGCCACACCCATGGGCTGGTGGTGTTATCCGTAACATCACTGGTGAAGCCTTTGGCTGGAAGTGGCTGGAGTAATCTCTCTTTCTTCTGCCTCTGCTTTACCCTGTCCTAGTTTGGTCTTATCTGGTTTGGATACTTCATATTCATCCTTTTTCACCCTGGCCATTGTCCCCACTGACCCTTATCTGATAGGACTAGCTAAGGAATGGGAACTGGGTCTCTTCGCCTATACCAATCCTAATCAATTGTTAATGTCTGAAGTGAGTGCCATGTTTATAAGACAGCATCTGACTTCAGGGAGCCCTAACGGACGAGGTCTGCCTGCCGTGGGTGTGGGTGAGCGTGGGTCGTCTTGCATTTGAAGAGACTGCTATCTTTAGAATGAACACTTCCTTCTTTTCCTTGGGCTGATATCTGAGCTGCAAATCCTTCACAAGATCTCTGCATTCATTGACTCCAAGCCCTAATCTTTCGGTGAAGAAACAGTATTTCCAGGGCGTTAGCATTTTCCATTCATGCTTGCTATGAAAATCGCAAAACAGAAATTGCAGGCACTAGATCATTGCTCCAAGGAGAATGTGCCCTGCCAGTGCCTTTGCTAGAATCCATTTTGTGGCTCTAGTTTGGGAATTGTGCCCATCTTCCTAGCTTTAGGCTGGAAAAAGAGTAGCTTCTGGGCTGAATGGTATCAGAAAAAAACTGTCTCCCACGATCCAAAAGCCCTTCCCTTATCTTTTTCCCTTTTATGTGCCTGTAGTTACGGGTCTCTTGCCTCTGTGTTCCGGTGGAAATAGGAGTATCCAGATCCAGGGTGGGGAGGATGGGGGCGGGGGGGGGGCGCTGGCGAGAGCAGAGTTGCCCTCCTACTTCCTTACAGAAAATTGGGGCTCCCCACCACAGGGCATTTCCACCTGTATGTGGTATTTCCCACCGAGTACTGTCTTCACAGAGGAGCACCGGCTCAGCTTACCTTGTAGTGGAAGAGAAACAGTCCGCAGAACAGGCTGTACAAATCTGCTGTGAGCAGGGAGAGGTTGACCGAAGTGGCACTGGTCTTCTTGATGACGACTGGCATGAAGCTGTAGAGGCCAAACATGCAGGCGCTAAAGCCGACGTAGAGCAGTCCTGTGGGGAAAGGGAAGAGGGGTGATGGACAGCCTCCTCTGGGGGCCTCTGAGGACCCCAGCACGGGGGAGAAGGGGGCTGGCTCGTGCTGTTTACCACGACACAGGGAGTTTTACTCCACTCTGCTAGGAGATTTTATTATTGGGTAATAGGCCGCTAAAACATAAAATAAAAAGTAAAAATCTTCATGTGGGAAATGAACTTTCGGCTTCCCACTACATTAGCCGATCTTCTGCTTCTTCTGGGAAGGAGTGCCTCCTAGTGGCTAGAGTCAGAATATGGGGTCGAGCCTTAATTCTGTTTCCAATGGTGCTGTACTCTACTTTTCCTATCTATGTCTTTTAAAGCATTTTCTTTAAGTCTCTTTTTTGTTTGCAAAATGGGAACTACTGGGTTCCACGTATTGTTCACGGTGATGAATATATATATATATATATAACTATATATAACTATATATATATATATATAAAACTATATATATAACTATATATGTAACTATATAGTCCTCAAGACCAAAGGGCTCACATGTCACAGTGATGTGGACTAGGTCAGAACTGGAATCCTAATTGGGTGGCCTTGGGCAGACCACTTCATTCTCTGAACACAAGACGACCTGTGAATTTCTTCCAGATTTGTGCATCCCCCTCAGTCCTATACCCCAATAAACAGAGTCCTACTTCCCCATCACCTTCCCTAGCACACTGCGGGTTCTCACATGTAGGCTCTGATGTTCTAGACATCGTTAACTAAATGCTTCATAGACTATCAGAGAGTTAAGTGTTGTAAAACAGAAAGATTTTTTTTTTAAAGTCCTTAAAGTGCTATAGGGTCAGACTCTCATCCTCTAAAATTCTCTCTCATTATAACTAGATATACAATTGTTCATACTAATTCCATAAGTACACAATTTTGTTGGGTCCCAAGCAGGAGTTCATGGCTAAATGCAGAATCTGGTTCACCTTTTACTAGGTGGTGATACAATACAAATGTACAAAAGTAAGGCTCATTCTCTACCTTGATAGAATAAAGCATAGAATAAGCAAAGGTAATATAATTCAGTGGATCTTTGGGCATTTTAATGCAATTAAAGCATCCAATCTTTCCAAAGGAATCCTTGATTAAATGTGTCTGGTGTGGGCTGTGAGATGATCACTTTATCTGAATCTTATGAATTGGGGAGAATTTCATAGATACTGGACGTCTACTTAGTCCCTTTGACTATGAAGACTAGTGATTCCTCCGAAGAGAAATTTGGTTTCCCATATGAGAAGTATGTAAGAGCATAAATCATCATCCTATACATTTTGGATTCTCAGTGTAAGGAAAGCCATGGCAAATCTATATGAAAAGATTATTCTGAACATTAAGTAAGCAAACTCTGTACAACAGCCCCCTCTAGTGTGGTGGAAATGCCCTAAGAGGAAACTAGAAGAACCACTTTCCTAGCTCAGTCAAGTGCAAGTCCTCTTCTGGATATTCTGTCATAATAATATCAGATATCTTCTGACTCTCCATCACAAGCTTTAATTCCCTAAAAACAGTCAATTCTCCTGTAACTGGGTTTCATGCTACTTATAATTCATTTTCCTTTTAACCAAGTTACTAAAAGCGCAATACTAAATAATTTATAAACAATACAGGAAAAGACATAAAGTTAGTGCAGTATTCCTTCAAAAAAAATCTGGGATTAAAAGACTAAGAACAAGCTATATCCTTAAACTAATCTACTAAAAGTCCACAAAAATCAAACTTGGTCAGAACATAGTCCAGGTACCAGCACCTTTTTTCTTTTTAAATTGCATCAGTGATTTAGATTAAATATGACTGAGCTAGAAAGTTCCAGAATCCTACCCTTCCATCACCTTACCTGGCACACCTTTCCTGGCACTGATCCCACCTCACATGTGGGATCTGATGTTTTATACTATGTATTCACTGAGTATTTACTGTACCCTTGCCTAGCAAAGCTATGGAAAACAGAATGGGTAAGAAGCTTAGAGTTGCTTTAGTGCTAAAAGGAGGGTCAAAGGGTTCATTTTAGGGAATGGCAGGGGGCTTGCTTCAGGAAGGGGGACTGGCTAAGTCTTCTTTGTGCAAGTGGCATTTACCTTGAATGCTGAAGGACTGAAAGGAAATGGCCAGGGAGGACCCAGGGCAAGAACATTTTAGGCAGAGAGCTCTGCAAATGAAAAACCCTGATGGCAGGGCCCCACGTGTTCTTGGAGCTGCCATGGGCCAGGACATCTGTGGAGAATGAACAGAATGGGGCAGTGGGAAGGGACAAAGGTGGAAAATTAGGCAGAGGATGGATTATGCAGGGCCGTGCAAGTCTAGGAAGGAAATTGACATCTTGTTCTAGTTGTAATAAGAAGCCATTAAGGAGCTGGTAACAAGGCTAACACCGGATCCACATCTTCAAACGAGAGCTCTCCTGCTGCTAAGAAAGGACTGGCAGGAGAGAGCATGGCAGACCAGCGAGAGGTGCAGTGTCCTAGCCCAGGCAAGGGATGCTCGCGGCTCTGCTCAGGATGGCAGCGGAGGTGAAGGAGAGTGGCTGGGTCTGTGGACACTCAGCAAGCCCTGGTGATAGTCTGGGGCCATCAGGGATACTCAAGGGATCTCATGAGTTAGTTTAGAAACTGTGTGAATTATGGTGCTATTTACCAAGATGCAGAGAACTGAGAGCAGACAGGTTTTCAGGGGAAGTAAAAAGCTTCCTTTAGACGCTTATGCATCAACCAAGAGGATCTGTCCAGCAAGGAGCTGGGTATGTAATTAGCGGGCTCAGAGAAGTGGCCATATGGCTGGTGAGCCACGGAAGAGCAAACTAAACCCACGGCAGAGTTTCCCTCTACTCATCAGGCAATGTCAGGGTGCTTCAAGCTCAAACTCTCTAAACCTATTTTTAAAAAACTGCAGAAATTAAATTTAGGGAGACAGGGATGGAGTATCTACATCATCCCAGCTCACCACTTTGCTAGGTCAACCGATACTTTTGCGTGAGAACATCCTGTTTTGAGAGCAGAGCATGCTCAGCCCCTGGGACTCATGATCAGACCGAGGCAGGTGTGCAAGGTTGCTGCAATTTGCTGACACGCTGCTCGGAGGTGGACACGAGCTGGCTCATGGTTGTGCGCAGTACACCTGAAGACCCAGTGCACTGTCTGTGCGGGGCTTTCCAACCGTCAATCAACGTGATCAAACAAACGAACTGAGTGATTTTTTGACTGACAGCTCTCTAATGGCTGCAACAACTACTTTTGCAGACAAGGTGTGTGTATAGCCATTTCTTATTTGCCATGCTTTCTCTCTCACAAAAGACAGCGTTCGGGAGCTGTTTTCCTCATGCGCTAAAGAGATTTAAGTCAAAGGAATGAGAAAGAATACTATGGGTTCATATCGATTGTGTGCTTGCTACGTGCCATGTACTTTAGATACGTTAACGAATATCTATAACCGTAGAAAAGACCATTACTATTGTTACCCTATTTATATAGGAAAGGAAACAGGCTGAAAGAGTGTATCAATTAAGAAACAGTCCATACCTCAGGTTCAATAGAGGACATTTAATATGGGGCACAAGTCACAAAGGTGCTTGAGAGGGTGATGGGGGAAAAAGGGTGATGAGGCATCCCAGAGATTAGCAGTAGCAGGAAGTTATTCACACTCTTGGAGCTAGAGAGATCCAGGGAGGAGGCGATGTGCCCCGGGGGTCAGAAGGTAGGAAAGCCCAGCAAAGGGACAGTCAACCACTCAGACGGGACTCAGCCTTTTCTAGAGACCTGACCCTGAACGGAGGGAAACAAGGAGACACAACCTGATTTCTTTCTTCCTCCTACCCTCCCATCTCCTACTGCCTCCCGTTGGCCAAATCTAGTTGGAAGCCACTTAACAGCACAGCCTGGGAAGTGTAGTTTGCATGAGTCAGCCTCTGCAGAGCACAGCAGAGGAAGGGTCAGAAACAGATCTGTGGATAAACAGGAAAATCAGCATACAGAGGTTGAGTAACTTGCCCTCGGGACACAAGCAGTCGGACTTTCAATTCTAAGCATATACCCCAGTCCATATGGTTTAATTATTAGGAAGAGAAACAGGGCTTCGATGGAGCATCTGATGTAATTCTAATGAGCACCTCATTTTATATATAATACATACATGATAAATACATGAGGCATGACTTATGACATACCTTTAGATACGATAGATATGACACACACGTGTATACAGTATGCGTCCGTGTATGCTGAATATGTTTTATCTCATCCCTTTGGGATCCCACTGATGTTCTGTATTTCACTTTCCTTTGAGTATACCAGATATTTAAAAACATTTTTTTTAATTCTTAAAGATGGCTTCTTAGCCCATGTGCATCAGGCTGAGTAGGCAAGCGCCCGAGGTGGGCAGGGCTTGCTCAGAGAATGCACAACCCTATTGGTTCCCCCGCTCCCCCCCACCCCTCCCATCCCCACATCCACAGGCAGCCATTGGCCTCCTCGGTGGCCTCACTTCCCCAGATCTCTGATTCAGCCTCGGTAAAAAAAGGTATGTTCTTAATTATCCTTAAGTTCCTTCCTGCTCCGTGGTCCCATTACTCCATCTTCAGGGAAAGGTCAAATCTCTTATTTCGGCCTCCAGGAGAAAACCAAAACCAAAACCAAAACACTCATCACCCACAAGAGCCAAGAAGGGACCCCTGCGTACAGCGAACCTGTGCTCTCTGTGCCACAGCACAGTTTTCCTTTCCTTTGACGTTTGGCTCTCACACCAGTTGGTATCTGCTCCCAAGTCCTTTAACACAATATGGCAAACGGGATAAAGGGAATGTTGAAGCCATTTACTAGATTTCTGACGGTGATTCGAACACACCTGCTCCACAGGACATTTGAGCTCTGTTAGGTCGAACATTTTACTGGAATTAAACGATTGCATAATCAGACCCAGGCTCTCCGCTGAGTAGTGTAAAACAAAGAAATGAAACACCAACAATTAAGGTGGTCTTCTTGCTTTGAATTACTCTCTGCATCTTGCAAATGTTACAGGAAAATAATGGAATCTGTTTTAAAAAGTGCCTTCCAAGTACAGAAAAGATAAAATACATTTATTATCCCACTTGCTCTGTAGGAAAAAAATCTTTTTACTTTGATAAAATGTCAACTATATGAGCTGTCCAAGAGGCCGTGTGAGGGGGATTGCTGATGTGGAGACAGGGGAGGGAGAGAAATGTTCTGACAGATGGTGGGAGATGAAAAGTCTTGGATTTTGGTCTCTTACCTAAGATGCTGTGAGTTTACCACCAGAGACAGCGATCAGAGCTCAGCACTCTTGGGTGACTTCCCAAGGAGTGCAGGGATGCTAGAGAGGACACTGACACACACACCACCCCCTCGCCCCGCCACATCTCCCTACCTCTTGGTCCCCAGAACTAGTATGCCATCTCCCAATTCCCCAGAACGAGAGGGCGATGTCAAGCCTAGACCTCCGGCTATCCCCCCCCCATTCTCCTGTTCTCTATATTTTGAAAGATAAGGGGGGCAGAACAGGCCCTATCACCTTTGCTTGCCCTTCACTCATTTATAGTAAACATTTATTCACTGAACGTTATGTGCCCAGAACTGAGCTAAACAATGACACTGTGTAGTTGGTCAGGATGAGGTAATGAGGACAGAGGCAGCCCTTGTGTAAAAAATCTCAAACCCAACCCTATCGATGTTTTGGAAAGAAAACGATAAATATCTTTCTTGCCCATTTCAGCCTCATCTCCAACCAGGAATTAAACTGATGGCTCTATCATGTATTCCTTTTATCCCACCTTCTATCAGCGTGGACTACAGGGGACTGACAGTTTAATGACAACAGGAGAGTTAAGAGTAAAACTACCTTTGGATGCCACATTTAACTAACACTGAATTAGAATAGAACCTCAGTGGAGATGCATATGACATCCATATCATTAGAGGACAAATTATTTTTGATCACTGCCGTGACTATTAATATGAAATGAATTTATACCACTGCGTGCGAAGTGTTACCAAGCACGGGTCACATTTTGTTTCCTGGATCCGAGAGTCCCAAAGGCAAATGCATCTGTAACCTGCAGCTGGTTTGCTTTCCCCGTTGCCCCTCCTCTCCTCTTCGCACCCCGTCTCTTCTAGTGATTTTCATTGAATGGTAACATTCTATAGCAAAACACACAAGAAACTAAATGGCAGGATTCTGTGACAGACACAAGAGCCGGCAGCCCTTGAAGTCACTAGTGATAACCCCCAGGGAGAGTCATGCATGATTCTGTAGCTGGCGGGGTGCCTTCAGAGGGAATCATGTCAGCAGCGAGCTGGCCTTGGATACTTCTGGGTCAGGGGTAGGGAAGGCGGTGCCAGGAAGCTTATGTCATTGCTGTCCCTGCTGGTGGAAGCAGAATTTGACTAAAGCCGTCAATCTCATCAAAACTCACATAAGCTGGAGGGGTTTCCAGCAGCCTCCTTCTGTGTGGGCGATCTGGCTTCAGCCCGCACTCATATTCACAGTGCGTGTTTTCCAAACACCCTTATAAGCCACACCCCGTGCTCATTGCTGGCATACTGGCCTCATACCATGCATCTTGGTATAGACACTGAAGGGGTATCTATGTAGAAGGATTTAAATACCATTACCTCTCAGGGCTTGCTGTGTGATCTTTATAGCAATCACCTAGGATCTTAAATCCTTGTCCCAATTTTTTTTTTTTTTTTTAAAGAGAAAAGTGATTTTCAGAACAGGTGGAATCTGAGATACCCTGGATGACCATTAACTTGCTCGAAGCGTGTCTGGTATTTTCCACCTAGTCTACTTGGAGATCAATTAACCGTTTCTTATGTGCAAAGTGCTCCCTTCTGAAAAGGTTTTTATGGGCTCAAAACGCCCATTACATTGTTTTCTTTTATGCCTTTTTGTTCATTTTTCCCCCCTTTACTAAAGTGCCACTTTTTAATGATCACATCAGTTTTGTGTCCCTTGGCTAGAGAAAATTGCTGTCATTTATGTCCCACCACTGCCTCTGAGCATTTTTTCTTTCTGGTTGGTCTTTAACCTAATAACATACTTCTATGTGTACACTAATGTCATCTTGACGATGATAATGGGCAGAAGCTCAATTAGGAAACATTAGAAATCATGCAGTTTAGTCTCTCACCGTGTACACAAATTCCTAAAATGACAAGGGATTTCATCTTCCTTTGTCCTTTGCATTCTGAATCCTTTCATGGTTCCTGCCTCACACCTCCCCACATCACTCTTCAAACGTATCCCTCAGGTTTACTAAAAAGAGGATTTTTAGGTGAGCAAAGCTCTTACCTATTTGCCAATCCCAGGGCACCTTTAACAGCTCCTTGTGCTCCATTATGGCTCTGCAAATTCAAAGAAAACAGACCCCATGAGCGAGATTATAATGCGTCCTGCCTTTTTTTTTTTCCTTATTTTTTCATTTACCAGATTTGTGCAAGTCACAAAACAACCACTAAATTGCAAAAATAACCTTCAGCTAGGGATAGGGAAGTCTGCTTTGGCAACCTGAGGTTCCTCCCCACAGGTGCGGCGAGGGCATGGTGGCATTCCAACCTCCCACAGGCCTTTTCCCCCAGAGAGTCTCCCTGCAGGCCTTGATTTCTTCTTGCTTAGATGCATTCTGACAAGTCAGTGGTGAGGTAGGGAAAATTTCTGTGCTTGCAGGTTTAATCAGGTTTTTTTCGAAGTCAGTTTTCTGATTGAGGGTTCTCTAAGGCAGTGGTTCTCAAACCTTAAGGTGCCAAAAAGCCATGAGGGGAGCATGTTGAAACAGTTTCCCATGCTCCTTCCCCAGAGATACGAGTTCGGCAGATCTGGGGTGTGTGAGGGGGCAAGTTCTCCTGTGGTGCGGCTGCTGCTGTTGAGAAAAACGCACTTTGAGAACCACAGCTCCAGAAAAGGACCAGGAGGGTAAATTGGTCCTGCTCCACCAGAAATATGTTGGTTGGGGCGCACACTCAACATACCCCATTTGACACACACAGCCCCGTGCCACTTTGATTTTGCCAGCAGTGGCGCTGAGGGGCTCTATTCACTCAAATGGACTACAACGGAAGCAAATGAGTTCTGGATAGCTGTGGATATGTTTTGGATTCAGGAATAAGAATCCATAAAACGAGCCATCTATCTACAAAATGTTGGTTATGAATTGTTGAACAGGGCAATCTCTTTTCCTCTCACAAAGCTGAAGCACCAAATTTAGGAGCTTTAAAAATGCCATCCCTCTTTCAAAATGAATCAAAAATAAATCCTTTTCAGAGACCCTCCCCATCTTCGTGCCCCATTTGCTATGGAGTTTTCCCCCCATGTCTTGGGATACGAAGATTTGGAGGATTCTTGGAAACAGCCTATTGGCAAACCATGTTTAAGGCAATGCCAAAATATCTTCCATAAATAATTTCAGATACTGAATTGATACAATTACAAGGCACTTGCATTATAGAAAGGGATTTGGTGAAATCAGAATTATTCGTTTCGTAAAAAAGGATTTGGTGAAATTAGACTGCGGGCTGTACTATCAATCTTCACCCCCTTACGTGAAACTAAAACATACGGTCTTTCTTGATGGAAAAGTGTGCTTTGTTTGACACTTATTCTCACAATGATTCTGAGGCACTAGTCTGTGATGACACATATATGTCAAGGCAGGTGGGGTGTTTTCGACTTTCAGATGCTTGATGAATGTCTGTGTTTTATCTCCACATGTTTAAGGACAAGAGAACACCAAACTTCTAAGAGATGAATTTGAAATATGGTTCCTTCAGGCAAATCCTTGGGCAATAAAAGAATGAACTTGTGAAAGGACAAACTTACACTGTGAGCTTTCTAGTAGTTGTTGTCACTAGTAAACAGGTGTCCCTCTTCAGAAGTACATCCAATCATGGCATTTATGCTTTGCTATTCTACTTCTCTAAGTGAAACCACTGGCTGGTTTGGGAGAATCAGTGTACTTCTACTGCTTTCTTGTAAATTGTGTTCAGAGTCCACTAAGTGGTTTTCTAATAATTGATAATAAACTTCTTTAGTTTTGAAGAAGTTTACTAAGAAAGATGCTGAACACAGATTTCATGGAGGAGGTTAGTGAAAGTCTTCCAGTCTTGATTTTTATAAAATAAAGTGACAAACCGTAACCTAAATGAAAATAATTAGAATAAGCCCTAAGACTATCTACTGTCTGAATTTCTTATCATTTTTACTCACAATTGAATTCCGCTGAAAAAAGCCCCAAAGAGTCCAATCATCCCCAGAAATTCCACTCGACTCAGGGTTCGGATGATGTATTCTTCCCAGACGTTGGAAATACCATATAACGTGGCTCCTCCTAAGACCAGAAGGTCCCCTACCAGCTTATTTTCCCCTAGAAATCAGAAACACGAATGCAGCTTCATTAAAATTTTCTTAATGAGAATCTGGCACCAGAAAATTGAACTTCCTTTGTCTATTCTATTCCAATGTTTTTACAAAAGTCCAGTAATTTGCCAACTGAGATCTAGTAAAGTGTGTTTATCTGCGCTCCAGATAGGTTCTGGTATAAAAATCTTGCCTATGTCTGCCCAACCAGAAGTCTTCTTTTACCCAAAAAAGCGACCAGTTGCTTCTAGGATGCACCATCTCTACAAAGCCCCATGTCTACTGTCTATATATATGTCTAGGAATATATGCTAATACATGTACATGTTATATTTGCTGCAGGGTGCTTTCCAACCGTTTAGTGAACATGGTGTAGCACAAACAGAGCTAGTCTGAATTTTCACCCTCTGCTCTACAGGGAAAGAAGCTGTAACAGAAGTAGTCGGGATTCTTTATTTTGACTGTGGGCAACATATGTCCTTGCTTAGAAAATAGGAGTGAAAGAGATTATGAGTTGAAACTTCCAACTCCCCTAAAGTAAGTAATGCAAGAGTGAAAATATAGGTAATTTACTATTACATTAATATTTTCTTATATTTTCATAAAAATGTCTATTTGTTTTAAAACCAGTTTTGGTTGGTTTAAGTTTGGCCAATTTTTAATAAGTGCTGCACCCCACTATTTCTTATCATTAGGCAAATTCTACTCTAGGAAGTGTGAAACCAGGAAGGGTGGACTTTAGCAGCCCATGAGGGCTTGTACTCAAGTAGTCTCCAGCTCTGTCCTCCTGTACAGCTCAGCACATGGGAGCATGGCAGGCATGAAGCTGTGAGGCACAAGAGAGGCCAGATGGGAAGGGTGCTCTCTTCAGCATGATTCTAGGGAAGGGGCTCACACCTCAGGGTAGCCTTGGATTCCCAGGTTGGCTGGAACAACTAAAACCATAGAAGGTTTTCAGTGTTCATTTGGGATCATTGAGCATTCTCTAGGCAATGACTTCACATAAAAGAATCTGAGCTGGGCTTGGGGAAAGACCTCTTCATTCATGCCTCTGCAGTGACATTGGGAGAGTCTATATTTACAGGCTACCCTTGAACAATGCAGGGGATACGAGTGCTGACCACCATCCCCCAAACCCATGGTCAAAAATCTGCATATAAATGTTGACCTCCCAAAGACTTAAAGACTAATAGCCTACTGTTGACCAATAATAAGCCTATGGACTTACCAATAATATAAATAATTAACACATATTTTGTATATGTAATATATACTGTATTCTTACAATAAAATAAGCTGAAGAAAAGAAAATGTTAAGAAAATCAAGAGGAGGAGAAAATACATTTACAGTGCCATACTGTATTTATTGAAAAAAAAAATCCATGTACAAATGGGCCCTTGCATTTCAAATGCATGCTGTTCAAAGGTCAACTGTACTCTTAACAGTGTCACTTTTCCTAAGGCCAATTTCCACTCCTGGTAAGGATCACGGAGAGAAGAGACACTGAAAGGTGGGAGAGCTTGCTGGAGTCAGCCTCCTGGGAAAACCACACTTAACCACCAGATGGAGAAATAAATGGTGAATTAGACTATTCTGGAGTGTTGAAAGATTATTCACATAATTTATGAAAATGAACCCATCCCACTGAATATTTTTGAGTTTTAAATGTGACCAACTGCCTTGTTTTTCTGGTACTCTCTTGGTTTTAGTACCAAATTCCCTCAACTCAGGAAACTCTATCATACTGAGCAACCCGAGACAGTCATTTCTCCTAATTCACTGCAATAGAACAGCTGTACATTTCTTATAAGGGTCATGATTATAGAGAAATAAGTACAAGTGCTGTAGCAGAAAAAATACTGGCTAGATTCACATCTAAGCCACACCATTTAGTACTGGTGTGCCCTTCTCATCTCCATTAGCCTTGATTTCTTCAGCTGCAAAAGTGAGACTAAGAAAACTTTCTTTGCATATTTAGGAGAATTAAATGAGATAATGCATGTGAAAGTGCCTTGCACCAAAAAAATGGTCACTCTTTGTTTCTGATTTAATTAAAATGTTCCTCCTTGGAAATGTTTTCTCTTCCTTGAAATAACTACAAAACTATGTTTAATAATAAGAAAAAAAATGTCATTATAGGTATCTAACATCTTTAATAAATGAACTAAAAGATGCAGTAAAAGTATTATAGTCGAAATATGATAATAGTGGAGAGCAAGAAATATATTTATCATAAGGAGCTGTTTTAATTGAGTTTCATCTTAGTCTTAGGACTTTCTTCCCTTCCCCTCCCACTTGTACAGCACACTCCCCAGGCACCGAGGCAGAACCTCCTAGGGCCACAGACTGTGGGTGCCTTCTCTCCACTTCTGTCTGCGGTGGGCAAAGCTGCTGGCACAGCTTCCTCAGAAGCACGCTTCCTGATAAGGACATTTTGAGCCCGCTGCCATCTGTGACATTTCCTTTAGCAAGGCTTAAATCAAAATGAGGAAGAAACATCCTAACAAGAAGAATGAGAGCAATTACTTAAATTATAATGAAGTCAGAGGAACTTTGAACAGGCCGTTATCCCTGTGCTTGAGGAGAGAATTTTCAAAATCCCAAGCTAAGGTGAACTGTGGATCGAGCAATAAAAAAAGGATGAAGTCAGTCTCTTTTCCTATGAAAAGCTCTTGATTGGGGGATGACGATTTATATTGAGTTGAATGCCTGACTGAGGTTCTGATGAATAACTGGAGTATTTCAAAAAATTTCTGTCCCTGGTGAGTAATAACACTGAGCCAATTCTACTGTCAAGGTGAAAACAAATGGACTATTTTGCATAGTGATGCACGCCAATGTTAATATTAGATTGTCCTTAAAACCAGACTGGTTTTTTTTTTCTTTTTCCAAAACATTTTGCATGACAGCTTAAATTGCTGTCTAATTTATTTTGTCTAATTTATTTTATAAAATAAGCCATTGGATCCTCTATTTGGGCTGCCTTTAGAACACCATACCATGTACTTGGGCACCATTCCTTTAGCATGGAAGGTACTCTGTGATGATAAATTTTCATCGTTAACATGAAGACTTCACATATCACAAAAAGGAGGGTGCTGTGAGTCTTAAACAGATAAAACCTGCTCCAGTGTGTTTGAGCTACTCTGCATTGTTTTTTTAAAAATTACTTCTTTTGGAAGACCCTCAAATGGACTTACTTTCTTTTCTTTAATAGTATCACTCCTCTCCTAATACTGCGTTTGAGATCAAGAAGACATTTTTTGTCCCTAGGAGTAATGAATACAGTCTAGTGAAATCAATTCAATTTAGCTTAACATTCTGGGCTTTGCACATGCAGATTGTCAGGGCAATTGTCTTCCTTGACCAGGAAATGAAGATGACAGAAGGTGGTCCAATGGCTAAGGTTCACCAAAGCAGAATTTTCATAAATAAGGGCACGTGCTTCTGCTTAGTCTATGTTTCTGTCCTTCCAGTAAAGCAGAGAAAGTGTAATTAAATTATAAGCTTAGAACCACTAGTCACATTATATCAGACGAAAAAAAAAAACTATCTGATTTTTCCAAAGAGATTATCCATATCAGGATCACATGGGCATAGAGCGTAAAACTGGCCCTTTCATATGATATCTATTGATATCCCATGAACCAGTGTTTCATAGAAAAGAATCTGGGAGAAGCTGGTGTGTGTATTTTAGCCCATCTGTTAAGGTAGGGTTGATTATGTTGTATAGGCAGTGGGTTTGTGAGGACCCCAAGGCTTTCTCTCTTTTACTCCGTGTTGTATCTTTAGCTCCCAGAGATGTGGAAGAGGGAAGGACCTCCCCCAGAGTTCAAGAGCCTTGGGTTCTATTCTAGACCCGCTCTGGTAGCTCTGTGACCTTGGGAACTTGGCTTCCCTGTATCTTAGTGTTCTTGTGGGTCACAAGAAGTTGCTGAACAAGGTCTGTTTCAGCTACAATGTTCTATGATGCAACTTAAAAAGATAAAATGTATTTATTTCCTACACTTCCTACAACCTAGGCACTTCATACAACCTAGGTTCATTATGACAAACATCCCAATTTTGATTATCATCTAATTCCCTAGAAGGAAGGACAAGTCCAAGAACTATAGAAATGGGAATACTTTCTATCCTATTCTTGATATTAACAAAGGAGGTCATTTTTTTTTTTCCCCTGTTCTCTAAAACCTTATGTAGCATAAGAATTTTTGTACATTTTAAAGAACTGCAAGGCTTAAAAAAGGTTCCTCTGGAAACCATCCTCACCATCCTGAATCAGGATCCCCATCAGATTTATAGCAATTTGATGAATAAATCTTGAAGCTTTACCTTACAGGTCTATAAGCTGTGATTGATAACCACAAATCCTTCCTACCAAAAAAATAAACAAACAAAAAAACATGCACAAGGAGACTAAATTTATTTCCCCCTCCATAAAAGTATTACATATTCCCAATCTAGTCTTCAAACTTCAAATATCCACTCTTAGATTATATACCAACCTTCATCCAGTGGTTTGAGAACTCAGTCTTTCCTTGACTTGAGAAAGAAAGAGTTGGAGGGTCGGTCTGGGGCAAGCCCCTGCACTTCAAGAGAGGACCACCAACACCATGTTTAACCAGCTGGTTTGGGCCAGGCAGTAATGACCTTCCAAAATAGCCTCCAAATGGGTCCTAACCCCCAATTTTAAACACCATCTGAATGTTTCTGAATATATGCAGAAAGAGCAGAAAATTTGTATTTTGCCTCTTTCATTTACTCATGAAACATGGATTAAGCACCTCCCACATGCCATATTCAAGGTGTTGAGGAACAAACATGACTCAGACACAGACACTGGGAGCCCAGCTTCCTTGTTACTACCCTACCATGAACATTCCACGTCTTGTCTTGGCCTCACACATATGGGCACATAATGGGGCAAACACCTAGGGACTCACCTGCTCCCTGATGCCTTCCCACGAGGACATCCGCTCCTGCCATGCAGCCCATTCCCAGGATGCAGACCACGATGCCGAGGAAATGCACAGCCTTGTACCGAATCAGCAGGAAGAACCAGGAGAGCAAAATCACCACCGGGATCACAAAGCAGTCCAAGAGCTATAGGGAAGGAGTGAGGTTAGCAACAACAGGACATTCAGGAGGAAGTTTCCCATATAATAAAGAAAAATAACTCAGCCCTGTAGAGAAGGTATTTCCCCTGAACCTGAGTGTCTGTGTGGACCCAGAACTGATTCAGTTAAACAGACTCTGAAAAAAGCACAAACTAATTAAACATCTCCCAAGCTGTGAGGGAAAGGGCAGAAGGCCAATGGATAAGATGGTGGTGAACAGTGTCCTGCCCCGACTAGGTGGGGGCAGGTCTGCCTCCCATCTTTCTTGGTGCCCAGACTCCCCCAGAACACCTCACATGAGGGGAGAACACGTGGAGCTGTTTTAGATGGTTCCACTATTTGAGGAGTAAATTGGGATGGGAGGTGAAGAGGCAGAGGTCTTACCATGTTTTATAAATTATTAGAATTTAGACAAAAGTTGAACTTAATTTTCTCCCAGATAACTGTCTCCTTACTACTTGTAAACATATTTGCTCTAAATACAAACACAAAATGACTCTCGAGTTCACAATACTTTAAAAATTCTGTTGTAAAACAGAGTAAAGGGGGGGGGAGGAATAAAGTGTATAGAAAAAAATTTTTATTTCATTTCTTACATATTTTGTGCTAATAGTGAGATTCCATCTGACATGGAAGCCCCAGGAGTTGGTAGAGAGTTGCCCTAATCATGGAGCAAGTTAATGTGGTGAAATGAGGAGACCGTTGCGACTGGAGTCCAGAGATTTGAATTTGAGTACCATATCCTTCCTTAGAGTAGCGTGAACTCAGGCAAATCACAAACTCAGGAAGCCTCAATTTCCTGCTAGTATAATGAAGAGAATAACTCACTGACTTCCTCCAAAATGGACCGAGAAGCTTAGACATAAAACATGAGAAAACATTTTATAAATTACAAGGGTCTCAATGCTGGTCTGTAATCGTGCTTCCAAACACATGCTCTGGGCCCCTCAGAGCAGGTTGTTTCTACCACATCCTAGTAAAACACAGTGTCTTTGGATACTCCAGCAAGGCAGGATCTCCACTAGACAAACTACGTCCCACAGGACTTCCAAGTCCATGTACCAAATGAGAAACTAGTAATTCTGTCCCACCACCCTGTCCCACTCCTCTGCTAGAATCCTAAACAAGTGACTTCAGCACCCCAAGTCGGATGCAGGGCAGTGATCCCTGTACTCCTCCACTCTTCCTGCCTATATCCTGTCAGTTACCAAGCGCTGCCAATTCCATCTTCTAAACATCTCAAGTGCATTCATGCCACTCTCTCCCATTTTTGCCACCTGGACTAAGCTGGCATCCTATCTTACCTGGAATAAGCCTTTCTGTTCTGCCTCAGGGTCTTTAATCATGCATCCCCCTCCATCTGGAATGCCCCATCTGAATTCCCAAACTCCTGCCTCCTTTTCCTTCAGGCCTGCACTTATATACTGCCTTCTCAAGGAAGCCTTGTGGGTTCCCAGGCCAGGTCAGGTCCATCCATGCTTTCCTTGTGTCCTGTGTCCTCTATAGTGTTGATTGCAACAATACGTAATGAGTGCAGAATTATTGGCATGATGTCTGACTTCCTTATGTGTCCAGAGGTCTATGAGAGCAGGACTAAATTCTCAGTACCCAGACCCTGCTGTGTTCATGAGAAGTATCCCAATGATAGTGACTGAACAAGTACATATAGGATTTTTAATGATCAATAACATCCAAGATTCATTAAAGGATGAAAAATATTTGTATATTTGCAAAGCATGCCTGCCCATCAGCCTGACTTTGGAGACCATAAACAGCCCTCAGAATCCCCTCCTTCAAAAAGGTTTTTGTGATTGGCAGACTCTCAGGCTTCTTTGTGCCTTGGTCTCCTTTGCTACACAAACAATCAGAATTGTAAGCTTTCCCTTGCCCCGCCCCCCGCCCCAGGGTGCTGTGAGACAATAGGTGATGAAGGGCCCAGTGAATGCTGAGTAACAGCCTGTTGCCTGGGGTCTGAGTCTATAGGTCACAGCACTCCCCTGAGGGACTCTGTATTGGGGGGTGGGGGCTGCTAATATTGCCGGATAGCACAGGGTTGCTCACTGCACAGTTAATTAGCAAGTTAATGATCCTACTTGATAGGCTAAAACGCTCTAAGGCAGTTAGTACAACAGGCTTCAAATGCCATTGAAGTATATTAGGAAATTTGAGTTTGCCAGTATAAATTATTCACTGGACAAAAAAAAAAGAACAACAAAAAAACAGTTGGTGTGTCTTGTTTTAAAAATTAGAAATGATTGAATCAATAGTTGAAATATTTAGCTACAGGCTCCACAATTTGGATTTCATTGTCCAGCTGGAAGCCCTTCGTCAGTGGAGCCGAGGGCTTCTGTTCCCGAATTATGAAAGGCTAACCAGGACATCATTCAAACTTTGGGGAGGACTGAGTGAGCGTTTTTGGTTCTCAATGTCATAAGAAACCCCAAAGAGCTGGACGAGTCCTGGGATCTATTCCTTTAATGGGTTGAACTGAAAAATCCTTATTTGTACATGGCCGTTGGTCCTATGGATGGGGAATACCTTTAAAAGGAAGGGGAAAGGATAAAGGATAAAGAAGTATACAGTTCAAGCCAGGGTTTCTGGAATATTCAGCTAGGGAAGCTTGGTGCCCAGCATACAGTGGGGGGTCAATAATGGGTGGCTGAATGAATTAATGAATGGACAGGTACTTGACTTGGTATCACTGCCTGTAGGAAGGACATTAGGACTAATTCAGGCGCTGCTGGCATTTTGGATGGGGCAGTGTATTAGGCAGGATTGCCCCATGATCTCTGCAGGGCTTTCAGCATTGCTGGGCACTGGCCACTAAAACAAATGCTCATATTTACTTACAACCGCCCCTCAGTTTAGAATCAATTAGACTCCCCGTACTGCCTTTATTTAAAAGCTGGGGATTCAGAAGTTTCAAGAGATGAAGTGATATGTCAAGGTCACTCAAACTGTTGTTATGGGGGGGGGGGGAGTTCTGTCATGGGTTTTTTTTTTTTTTTTTTAAACAACATATTAATGAGGGTCGATGACAGGAATTGCCACAGGTAGAGATCTCATCACTGCATCTGTGACTACAGAAGGAAATAAACATTGAGAGCTTCTGTTAGTAAACAGGCTATTAATTTTAGTGATTTTTTTGGCTCTAGCCTTTTCCCTGTGGTCATATAGCATGAAACATATAGACAAAATAATTCTCCAATAGTTTTCTGGTGGCTTAACTCCTTAGCAAAGTGGTTGTTGGAGTAATAAAAGAGAGAAGTGTGATAACAGAGGTCCACAATTGGGGCTGTTAAAAAAAAGACAAAGAACAAAAACCCTTCTGATTCCGTCATTAATCTTTAGGAGACTCACCTTTCTTTGCATACATTTCTATATCCAAAAGGAAATGATAAAATATTAACACCAAAAAATAAACAAATGAATGCTATTTCATAATTATCTTTTTTCCCTTCTCTCTTTACAAGTTTTTATTTAAATTCCAGTTAGTTAACATACAGTGTAATGCTATTTTCAAGTGTACAATATAGTGATTCCATACTTCCAGACTATGCCTGGAGCTCATCACAGCAAGTGCTCTTCTTACCTGCATTGCCCGCTTAACCCATTCTCCCCCCCACCTCCCCTTTGGAAACCATCAGTTAGTTCTCTATAGTTAAGAGTCAGCTTCTTGGTTTGCCTCACTCTTTTTTCGCTTTGCTCCTTTGTTTCATTTCTCAAAGTCCATATCTAAGTGAAATCACACAGTATTTGTCTTTCTCTGACTGACCTATTTTGTTTAGCATTATCCTCTCTAGCTCCATCCATGTCATTGCAAATGGCAAGATTTCATTCTTTTTATGCTCTGAAAAATCTCAACGGACACTAAGAACACCGTGGAAAGAAAAGTGCTCATTACAACCTTGGATTTACATCTTTTTTATCCAAAAGATTTAAACTAACTCTTCCACATCATTAGTCTTTTTTTTTTTTTTTTTTGATAGACAGAGATCACAAGTAGGCAGAGAGGCAGGGAGAGAGAGAGAGAGAGGAGGAAGCAGGCTCCCCGCTGAGCAGAGAGCCCAATGCGGGGCTCAATCCCAGGACCCTGAGATCATGACCTGAGCTGAAGGCAGAGGCTTTAACCCACTGAGCCACCCAGGCACCCCCACATCATTAGTCTTTAGATGCTACCTGCCAGAGAGGTCTATGATCCCAAGTTGTCTGAACTATTGATGAAGGCACTGGGGCATACCATGCTCAGTGGGTGGGGCACATTCTCTGAAGCCAAGGTGATAGCTCCAGGATTATTATTTAAACTGGGTAGCTTTAAATAACATTTACAGTAGGTTGTACATGTTATTAATATTTTGCTTAGTTTGTATTTATTTATTATAAATATACAGTTTGCAAAACACATTATTTTTACTTTATCTCCAAAAATAGCACTTGAAAAGAGTTATGATTATACCCATTTTATGGGTAAGGAAACTGAACCTCCAATAATAGAGCAAGTTAGTGCCAGAGTTGGGGCTAAAATACTAGTATTTGGAATCCTAGGCTTCACAGAGTTAAAGTGCAGCTTCCAAAAATTATTTAATAATAACTAAAAAAGACTGTGTTGACATTGCTTTTAGGACAACAGAAGTTAATATTAAATAACTTAATGTATATATATTTTAATTGGAAAATCACAGCATCATTTAACTTTTTCTCCTCTCTCAGCCTCCCTGTCTTTTCAGCTTCAGCCAATCTCTTACCATTGGATCTTTCCTGACAGTCTTCAACCACACATGGTTATGCTCTCTCCTTAAAACACACACACACACACACACACACACACACACCCTCTTCTTTCCAATACCCACTCAAGCTTCTCTCTTCCTTTCTATGCTAACCCCATTTGCCAACACTCCCCAGACCACCTCTATCTGAATTCAGAAACGCTCAATCTGGTTTTCATGCTCACATGTAAGTCCCTCCTCTCCTCTAACATGGTCA